AATAGCGATGGGTCTGCTCCATACTAGTGTATTTGCCACATCTAAGATGGAAATTATTTCAATGTTATTTTTAAGCAAATTAATATTTAAATTAAGTTATCTTCAGAAATAATTGACACTTTAAATAAAAACGGGATTATTACCTATTAGTAAATGTTAAATTGCAAGATAGTTGGATTTGTAACTTTTTAGCAATTGAGGGTCTGCCAAATCCAAAATTTCCATTTTTGTTTACTTTTAATTAACATTTTTAATTTCTCCTCTTCTTTTTAAATTAAATTTTCAGTGGTGGTATAATATTATCAATAAATTCTACATATTTACACAAATTTTTACTTTTGATTTAAAATGATTAATCATAATTATCTGGATGAAATATTAGAAGTTAAGATTTATTTGATCAATGTGCTCTAAGTAATTACTAATAAATATAATGAGTAAATATATATTATGGAAGAAAAGAGATAGGATTAAATTATAGTTTATTATTTTTTTATAAATGCAAAGCTCAAAATTATGTTTTGTATATAATTATGGATCTGAATAATTTTGAAGTGAAAAGATTATTAGTTAATAAATGATCTTATGTAAGGATTGCTTTAAGATTAAGAGAGATGATAACATTATATAAAAAAGGGAAAATATTAAAAAAGTTTATCGGTAGACAATATAAAACCTTTTAACAAGTAAAAATATAAAACTTAGTAGAAAGAATGGTGAATTGTGGGGTTTTGTTGTTTTAAAGAATGTGTATTTTAAAATAACTAAAAAAATTGCTACTTAAAATATTCCTTATGACAGTTGTCTAAGTCTAATTAGAGATCGCAGTAGAATTGATCTATATTTTAACCATTCAGCTGAGATTGAATTATTTTTGAGAGAACTATAGAGATGTTGTATTATTGATGGGTTTGAATAACATTATTAAATGTTTCAAAATATAGATACTGGTTCTACAGCTCAAATATAACTTTGAAGGAGGCTATTGATGGATAAAATCAAGAATTTTAATTTTATTACTAAAAGAGAGTTAGCTAAAGTATTGATTGAAACTGTTCATTATATGCATACCAAAGTATTCGATATCCAAAATTAGGGAATTATGCATCGAGATTTAAAACCATTTAATATACTTTATAAAAATAATGATCCATAAGATTGGCAATTTGGAATTGGAGATTTTGGATTCTCAACTACAATTAAATAATAATAACATATTCTTTATAAATGTGGTACTCTTGGTTATGTAGCACCTGAAATTATAGAATATAGAGAATTCTAAAATGTATGGATTATCTTGTGATGTCTTTAGTATTGGTGTCATTTTATATGAAATGTAATAATCAAATTTTATTTAATAGCTTTTTCAATATTCATCCATTTAAAAGTAAAACTAAAGATGAAACTTTATGATAAAATGTAAATGTTCAAATTAATTTTGATGATCGTATTTGCATTCCTTAATCTCTCAAATCTTTAATTATTTCTATGGTTAGAAAAAATCCACGACATAGATTCACTCTATAATAATGTTTAGAACATGACTTTTTTAAAGAAAACCTATCAAAATTTAATGAACTTTATTAAGAAATTTAAGAGTATAAATATAAAATATAATCTAATTTTATAGACATGACCAAAGATAATGGAAATAGAAACATTCGATGTCAAACTCTTTAATTTCTAAAAATTCAAAATAACAGAAGAAGAAGATAGTCTTTACCTCAAGATTTCTCTGTTACACAAGAACCCTAAATTTAACGAGTAATAGTCATAATTATTGCTTAAGGTAAAAGCATTAATAAAATAAAGATAATCTATGTCCTCCACTCATGAGTCTAAATTGAAGCTAGAATCCTAACAACAATTCTAATTATCCTAATAAAATTAAATCTAAATGCCATAGATAAAAATTATCTAATTAGATAATATTTTTGAAATCTTTCTAAATGATTCACATCATATCCCAAATTCTTTTGGTTAAACATATTTAATAAAAGGCAATATTGATATTGATAAAGATAAAGATATTTTAAAAAAATATTTTATGTTATTATATGATTGAATATATAAAAAAATATATTAATATAAATAAAAGTCTCATGTCTGAGTACTAAAGAGTCAAATTTATCTTTCCGGCTTTAGAAAAATTTATTGTTATGGTATATGTTTTTTTCAGAATTAGGATTTAAATAGTAAAATTGCTCTTGACGATCTTAAATTTACTTTTACAAATATTTTAAAAATTGATTTGTTTGCAAAAAGAATAAAATTCTCATTTAATAAAGGATTTATACAAATCGACTTAAATTCATAATAAAGTTTAAGTGGATAAGAGGCAATAAAAAATCAAAACCAAAATTAAGAAAAATAATAGATTGATATTACAGTAAAATTTATTGAAGAAGGAGCATGATATTATATTGTAATTATTTTAATTTATGCAAAAAAAATATTTTAAGAAGAACATTTTAATATTTTTTTTTTAAATCAACTGAAATATAAGTTAAAAGAGAATCCTGTTAAATTAATTTGAATCAAAAATGATATTAAATTTAAGAATAATTTAGTTATAATTCATATCTTTAATTTAGATAATGATAGATATTTCTATAATTGATACTTTTTAATTTCTTTTTCATAATAATTTTTATTTGTATAAACTCTTCTTTGAGAATTTGATTTTTTTTCATCTATAAAAACTGTTAGACATCTTAATTTAGAAAACTCTCAATTATTAACTTAGATTGATCAAATAAATTATTTATTTCTATTAAAAATGTTCTTAAGATAACAAAATAAATCTTAATGTTATAGAAAATACTTCTATAAAAACTTATCTTAAATTAATATAAATTAAATAATTAAACTTAAATTAATATAAATTAAATAATTAAAAAAAAAATTTCACTCGTAATCAAAATTTCCTTGATTAAATTATTATTCTAAATCTTTGAATTTTTTATTAAAGATTAATTCAAATAAAATACCAATAATCTCTTAAAACTTGATAGAAAAGTAGTTTAATTATGTTTGAGCATGATACTAAAATTAATCAATACTTGAATTTTCAATTTTCTTCGAAAAAAATCATTTCTATACTAATTTTTAATATAAAAGAGCAAAAAAAATTTATCTATTTTTTAAAATAATAATCTATAACAATATAAAAGGATGGCATAAAATTATTTTTATCAAAATAATATTTTAATATTTTAATATTTTTAAAAAAATGATTCCTGAGGAGAAGATTGAAACAATTTAAATGCCATCCTTAATTACAAGTTTTTCGAAAAGGAAGTAAAATATGTCCCAATCAATTTCATAATCTAATATTTTGTTACAATCAAGTAGTTAGTGTTGTGAAAAATAAGAGTAGATAATTGAAAACATACTATTAAATGAGAAAAAAAATGTAAAAAAAGTTGAAGAAGATAAAAAAATAATAAATTCTTGATTATAATTTAAACACTCAACTATCATTAGAAATCAAATCAATAATCAACACAGTAGTAATATCGAATACTTAGTAATAATATTTGCAAGGAATGATGAGTTTAAAAGCTTTGGACATCATGTAGAATATAAATGAATAATCATGTTGAGTTGGTGTTGATTTAGTATAAAAATAATACTTATTTATAGTTTTGTTTAATTGATAGGAGTGGAAGTATGCATGGAGATAAGTTAATAATGGTTAAAAAAACATTAGTTTAATTGTTAGAATTTCTTGGAGATAAGGATTGACTTTAATTAATTGTATTTGATGGTTAAGCATAAAGAATTACACCTTTAAATTATGCAACAACTGAAAATAAATTATATTTTAAAGAAAAGATAGCTTCTATTTAATCTGGTGGAGATACTAAGATAGCAGTGCTTTTTAATTAGCACTAGATGAATTAAAATAAAGATAAGTGATAAATGATGTTAGTTCAATATTTTTGTTATCTGATGGTTAAGATTCAACTGCATTTGTAGAAATTTAAAATAGTGTTTCAAAAGTGAAAGATGTTTTCTCTATTCATTGTTTTGGTTTTGAGCGAGATAATGATACTAATATGATGACATCTATTTGTAATTTAAAGAATGGTAGTTTTTACTTTGTGTAAGAAATAGATTTGTTGGATGAATTCTTTGCTGATGCTTTTGGTGGTTTGATTACTGTAATAGGTGAATAATTAGAAATTAAAGCTTCAATTTAATCAACCTCTCCTTTTGAAAATGTTTCTATTTCTAAGACTTATGGAAAAATGTGGTAAAAAATAGATAAAGACTATATTATCAAATTGCCACATATTGTTTCAGGAACTAGAAAAGATTTTGTATTTGAATTATGCTGGCCTACTTGTTAGAATATTGATGAAAAAGATAAAGAATATAAAGTTCTTGATGTATCAATGACTTTATAAAATCCAATTACTAAATAAGTAATTTAAAAAGATGATAGTTTGATTGTTAAAATTGTTAATTCTGATAATTCAATTATTTAAAATGAATAAGATTTGGATGCTTTAACTGAATATTACAGGGTTAAAGGAACTGAAACTATTTTAAATGCTAAATAATTATGTGATGAGGATGATTTTGATCAAGCAAAACTCTTGATATAAAGTATGCTTATAAAAATTAAACCAAATGAATTTATCTTAGCTTTATGTTAGGGAATAGTATAAGATTTAGAGTAAGCAGTATAAGCATGTGAAAGAAACAGATTTTAAAATTATGGTAATAGCTAAATGATTTAGTTTGTGTCTAATAATTTTCAACAAATAGGATCCAATTCCATTTTCAATTCCCTAGGACAAAAATTATCTTCTTACTCAACCTTCATACTCAAATACAATGCAATCTCTTTTGAGAAGTTAAGTTTAAGATTTTAGAATTTCATAGTAAAGTGACATATTATGATTATGAGCAAAATATAAACAAGTAGTTTTTTTTTTTTTAAATTTATTTTCTTTTTTCATTTTTCCTTACTTTTTTATTTTTCAAGTAATTCCAAGCAAAAATTGAAAACTTTAATAAACATTATCTCAAAATGTATTTCATGTCTTCAAATATTAAAAGTTCATAATTTTGAATAAATACTTTTAATTTCTCTTCTTTCTTATTGATATTTTATGTAATCAATAAATACAAAATGAAAAAAATCAATATTAAATGTTATTTTCTCTTTTATATCTTAAATCTTCAAAATCTAATATTAAAAAAAAAATATTTAAAATATAGCATAAAGGCAAGGCAGAATCTAATCTATAAGAAAGATATCAATAATGATTAGAATAATATATTTATATTTAATTTTTTTAGTTAATTTACAAATTTTGATAGAATAAGGAAAAATAATAGTATTTTTGTTAATAAAAATAATCAATTATTGGTTATGGATTAGTTTGAATTAAATAATAGTGATCTGAGGGATCAAATTTAAGAATTATGTGATTAAATAAAATAAGAAATATGGACCGAAGAATGTGACATTTTAGAATAGTTTGAAGAAATTTTAAAATAATTAAATGATGAAGACTAGAACAAAACTATTTAATTTATCAAAACTTATTTTCAAAATTAAAGCTATGTGTCGAAACTGGAATTAAAATTTAAAACTTAAAAAGTCCCTAATAATAATCCAGAAATTATTGATTACAAAAAAAAGTATTTAATACTTATTCAATAAAAACAAGACTGGTAATAAGTTTTATAATAATTATAATAATAAGAATTTTGTTAAGAAAATATGTATTAATTTTACCATTTCAACAAATTTGCATATTGTAGGAAAATTAAAAGAATAAGTTTTTAACCTATTAGAATTATGCTAAATAACTTCAATTTATGATTATGGTTACCCTTATTTGAAAATTATAAGAATTTTATTAAGTTTTATTGAAAAAAAGAATTATTTTGATGATTCAGAATAAAAATTAATAAATTCAATAATAGTTAGTAAATTAAAAGAATAAATATTGCAATTTTTATGTTATGAAGATAGTCTATTATAGAATGACTATGTATATTTATAATTTACAGATTAAATTAGAAAATTTAATGAATTAAATACATCTAAAATGGTAAAAGATAATTAGAAAATAAATGATGAATTAAAAAAATTGAAAAAAGAGAGAGATTAAATTAGAGGAAAAAAAGAAGATTAAAAATCTTAATCTTAATTAGAAAATCATTTAAATTATGATGAAAAATTAAATGAATATAAAAGAAAGCATGATGAACTTACAAAAAAATTAAAATAAAATTTAGAACATATTGGAATTAGAAATATTGGAATAGAATTATTTTGGAGAGAATTGATAGCATTTAATTAAAAAAATTTGAAAGCTTCATTAAAAATTGATCCAGTAGATAAAGTCTATGAAATAATAAAAAAAAGGAGAACCATTTGAATTTTTAGATGGAGATTCTCTTAAAATAAATTCAACATTTTTACAATAACTAAAAAATAAATTTTAAAATTAAGGATAAGAAAAAGTTTTAATATTAAGTGTTTTAGGACCATAGAGTTCAGGAAAATCTACTATTTTAAATAAAATTTTTGGATGTCATTTTTGGACAAGTGTTGGTAGATGTACAAAGGGAATTTATTTAAACATATTAAAAATATAATATAAGGAATACTTTAATAATCTATTTGATTATATCTTAATACTAGATTCAGAAGGATTATAAAATCCCAATTAGGTTGATCCAGAGTTTGATAAAAAGATTGCTCTATTTATTTTAGCTATTAGTGATATTATTCTGATAAATGTTAAGGGAGATATTAATGATTCATTTAAAAATTTAGTTGAAATGTGTATATTTACTCTGATAACAATGAAGAGTAACATTTCTTCTATTAAATAATTAAGTTGGTGTTTTAATTAAAATAATGATGGTAATAAGTTTATTCCATTCTTAGAATAAATTTAAGGAATTGCAAATAATTTGAATCTAGAATATAAACATGTAGAAGGAGATGATAACAATTAAACTATAGACTATAATGAATTTCTGAATATTTCAAAGGAAAATATTTAAATTCTAGGATTTGCATCAATTGAAAAATTATGGAGAAATAAAGATAATTTAGGTAATTTTAATGATTGGAGATAATTAATAATTAATGAAACATATTCAGAAGAAGCATATATGTATGGTATAAGAATGATAAAGAATTTTATAAATAAATTTAATTCATAAACTGAAACATCATAAATGTGCAGTTTGAGCTTATTCTTATAAAATATAAATACCAATTGGTAAACTATATGTAATTTGCCAGATTTATTAGAGTTTACAGAATTAATATCTTATAAAAAAGATTAGTTAATGAAAAGTTTGTTTGAATAAATTTATGAAGAGTAAGATTTTAAATTTAAAGATGAAATTGGAAATGAACTAGAGGAAAAAGTAAACAAGAGCTCAACAATAAATTTAAGTTTGCTTGAAAAAATCTATAATGATGAAAAAGAAAACCTTAAATTAAAATTTATTTAGATTGAAGAAAGCCTAAAAGAAAAATTACTTGAATTTAAGTAATTGAATCAAATCCCAAAAAAGATTTTTCTAAAATATTTAAAATAATTAAGTGAGAGGCTTAATACTACGAAACTAGAATCTGAAGTTATAGTATTTGAAGAAATAAAAAATAAAGAAAGAGAGTATTAAAACCAAAGAGGATTTAAATCTCTTGATAATTTTATTCTTGAGATTAGTAAAAATGAGTAAAAATTAAAGCAGTTTTAAGGCTAAGAAATTTTAATAAGAGATTAATTTGAGAAATTATGGTAATAAATTACTAATGATTCAGAGAATAAGTAAATAAAAATATTAAAAGAATATTCTGAAAAATAATATTAAGCTATTTCCTCATTTACAGAGTACAAATTGTTAACTAAAAATGAATTCGATTATATTAATTATTTTACAGAACACATAAATGGGGAAACTCCTTTTAGGAAAGAGAAAGAAGAAAAGTTTAATATTTTCAATAAGTTTTAATAAGAATTATAAATTTAAGATTAATTTAGAATAATTATAAATGCAAAAGAAACAATGAGATATGTTGAAATTTTCTAATAAAAATTGGAGAACAGAATAAGAAAAGATAAAACTAAATACAATGTAATAAAAATTAATAACTATTATTTATTTTAAATCACCATCTATTTTGTTGAGAAAGAAAAATTAATAAATTATATTAAAGGCCAAAACATAATTAAAGATTTAGATTTGATTTTATAGAAATTTCAACAAAAATAACAACAATAATAAAATAATTAGAAAGGCACTTCAAAATATAATTGTATTAATAATCAGATCTGGTAATTGTTGATTTTAATAGAAATTTTTGATATAGATTTTGATTAAGAGTTAAGGAAATAATTATTCAATGTAATTAATAATCCCGCTAAATGGAAAATGCTATGGTCAGACTATAATGATTAAGTAGTAAACTCATTTAAGAAATTTTAAGCCAGTTTTAACTATAACTCTAATAAAATAAAAAAAACAACTCATTAGACATAAGATAATTTTCTTAAAAGTATCTAAGAGTTCAACAAAAATTTGTTAATAGAAAACTTCAAAGTTAGTTGTGGCAATGAGAAAGAAGTTGAAGAATTCTATTCCGAATTTTAAATTAATAATTTCATTATATTCAGAAAACAATTAATTATTCCTAAAACGTAAAATTAAAAATTTTATGCTTATTTAGAATATATTTAGTCTAAAAATAATTCTCATTATGCTAGCTTTTAACTAGATTTCATTAATATTTTTAAATAAGAAATGTTTGCAGTAGATGAAGAAATGCTATAAAATAAGAATTAGTAGAAAATTTCTGAATTAGATAAAATAAATAGTTGGTAAAAGATTTATTTTTCAATTTATGATTTAATTAAATCAGAGATGACGAAAAATAATTGCAAAGAGAATGAAAATAAAGATAATTCAGATAATGAAGATATTTCCTCATCTAATACCAGTTTGATTAAAATTATAATGTCTAAAATTGAGTAGGAAATAATTGAATATAATAAAGGTTTTGCTAATTTTGGTATAATATTAAATGGTATAGGCGAAAGATGCATTTATTATTATTCTATGTTAATCATTTGGAGATTTACATGTTATAAGAAATGGAAAGGAATATAATAAAGTAAAAAGAAATTCGAAGAAGTGAAATAAAATCAGTTATTGAAGTTTATAGCTGATATCAAAAAAAATAAAACTGAATAAAGTAAATTAAAAGCCCAGAATCTAATAAATAATGTATATAAGGATTTCATTTAAAAGTTTTATAAAGAAAATGAATTAGCTGTTGGTCAAGCTATAAAAGATAAAAATATGGCTTGCGTGGATTTAATTAAAATTTTAGATAAAAATATTTTGAAAGATTATAAGAAAGAGCAAGACTCTAAATAATATACTGATATATAAATATATGAATATATAACAAAATAAAGAGAGTTTATTGAAAAATATGCTTAAAACTAAGTTTAAAAAATTTAAGCAGAAGTTAATTAAACATTTGAAATTGACTTGAGAGAAAAATTAAAAACATTTTTAGGACAAATTTTAAAAAATGTAGCCATATTAGTGTCTCATACTGCTCTATAAGACCCTCCTGTAAAATCAATTGATTATTTTGATATTAGTAAGGATGACAAAAACCAAGATGTATTCTATGAAATTTTATTATTTAAATTGATACTATAATGTCTTTAAGGTAAGTAAGAAAAAAAAGGAGTATAAAATCAAAATGAATTAGAATAAGATTAAAATGTTAATATTATAGAAGAATATAAGGAAATTTTTCAAGTTTCAAATTATAAAGCAATAAATATTCCTATTTTAAACATATCTCTATTTTAAGACTCAGAATAATAAATCTAACTTTTAAAACCTTTTGCTGATGAATTATAAAATTAATTGTAAATTCATATTTCATAAATTGATAAAAAGGTGAAATTAGATTTAAGCAAATTCTAAAGTTATTCTGAATTAGATACAATAAGACTAAATATGACTGGTTGTCTTCATTCTTGTCCTATGTGTAAACGTAAATGTGATTAATCGAATTCTAGCGGTCATAAACACAAATGTTCAAATGGGCACTAATTAAGAGGTATCTATCTATTCTATATTTAAGGGATGAATGGAATATTAATTGAAAATACTCCTTCTTTATTCACATGTGATGAGATGAATGATGAAAGTTTAATTACAACTTTGGAAACACAAGTAACAAAATAATGGAAAGAAATTAGAAGGACATATGATGATTGGATTTTTATAGGTATAGGAGAAACAGAATTAGAAGAAAATAAAATAAAAATGATGAAAGTTTGGAATGAAGGAACAGGATAGATGGTATGCCAATAGTTAAGATAAATATTAAATAATCCTCTAATCTGTTTTGTCCCAAAAAATAATTATTAAGAAGTGGTTAGACACCCTAAAATTCATTATGTTTTTATAATTGATGATTCTGGTTCTATGCTAGGTAAAAGATGGATAAAAGCAAAGAAAAGTTGTTTATATTGCATGAAAGAAATATCTAAAAATAGTAATGCAAGAGTGAGTGTAATCATTTTTAACTATCAAGCTAGAATTATTGTTGACTGTGAAATAGTTGATATAGATTAATGCGAATAAAAGATTGATTATGATAGTGGAGAAACTAATTTTTGTGGTACCTTTTAAAAGGCATATGATTTGATAATCAAACATTAAAATTATGCATTCGAAAAGTAACACTTATTTATTTCAATAGAACTGAAATATTATTTTATACTGATGGAGCAGGAGAGTATCCAAAATAAGAAATTTAATAATTTACTATGTTTCCAGAGTAATAGAGAGCAAGAATATTTCTTAATTGCTGTACTGAAGATAAGAATCCTATTACTTTATAAATGATTGTTAATGAATTTAATAGTAGTCTCATTAAATCTGAGTTAAAAAGTAACTTTTTAGTAGCAGATCTAGAAAAAGCTTGGACTGAAATAGTCAGTAGAGATTATCATAAACTTAAAAGTTGATTAGTATAATTCATTAATCTTTATTCATATTAAGAATTATAATTAAAATCAAAATCAATTAATAAGTTGTGAGGATGTGAATTTTTTGAACGATTTATAATAATACAAATTTCTCTGAAATAATTTTGAGATTGGAGGTCCAAATCTAAAAACTATCATTAATCTTTTTGAGAATATTTATGTTATTAAATAAAATTCCTCTTTTGCAGAGAAATAAGAAGGAATCAATATAGGAGTTTCTTTAGGTCAGAAATAAAGTACAATTAGCTACAATATTGGATACTAATGGAATATGAGTAAATATTGATACTAATAATATCTCATTGGGACTTAGAAAAATAAAATGAAGAATTTGAGAAATAGAATATAAAAAATAAAATAATTGAATCACTAAAATTGAAAAATTATTTATTTGAAGGAAATTCTATTTGTAAATAAATAGATATGATTTATTACTAATGAATAAAATTAAGAGATTGATTTATTTAAAACCAATATATTGGGGCAACTTGAAATTATAAAAACAAAGAACGAGATTGATACAATTGAAATAGAGTCAAAATTTAAATAAATTTGTGATGAAGCTTGCAATTTTATTGAATAATCGATAAAGAATTAAGAATAAGATATAGTTTAATAAATTTATGAACTATGTCTAACTATTATAGGCAATGCTCATTTAATAGTGATGGAATTTACATAATAACATTCTAAGACATTTGAAGAATTATTTGAATAATATGGAAATTGTTAAAAGACATATAATTGAAGATACAATTAATGAACAGCGTAAATGAAGTAATTCAAAAAGCTTAAACTTGTAGATCCTAAATATAACTTCCTTTAGGTGACCGTGTTAAATAATGCTATAATTGCGGTTTGATTTGGGTTAATTTAAATAATTGCCCATATGT